AACTTGAACAAGTCAAAAACCGCACCAAATAAAAATAAAACATTTGAACGAAAAGCATGAACTAAAAAGGTGGGCAAGTGGGTGTCGCTCTGCTGTACAGTAGGTTACAAGTGGGTCACTGTATAATGGATGGTATTAAATTTGAATTCAATGATATAATATCATTGAATAAGAAAAACGATTCTGAGCGGTGACGGTATGTCAGTCTATGTATAAGACATATTATATACATATATATGGTATTAAACAAAAATTGACCTATAATAGGTACCTATAATAAATTCCAAACTAATCATATCACAATATCCATTAGATACTTATAACGCGTTATACATTAACAAAAACTGTGATACTATCATAGATATATAATAGTACACTTTAGAAGTTTCAAGTACCCACGAATAATATTATTCAATCACAACAAAATAACTAAAATCGTAATTCTTGGTTTAAATATGAAATTTTATCTAAATTTGAAATTAAAATGTCTGTAAAAAATAAGTGTGTTTATATATTTTTTAGATTTTTTGGATACAGTATGAACTATTTAAGAGAATCTTTGTTTTAAATTTTCAACTCTTAGTTATAAAAACTGAACATTTTATAATTTTTTAATTCCAACGATTGATAATTTTCGAGATTTTGATAAATTTTGTCAAAATTCCAAATTTAAATGCTTATAAAAAAAAATCGTGAACATGTATTTTTAATATTTTTCAACTGATATTGTAACAATATATCAGGAGCCTTGTATTAAATTTTTACACTTTTTGGCCCAACAGATAAAACTTTATTAATATTTATAGAAAAAAAAACTAAAAAAATTGAAAGCTGTAAATGTCCATAAACAGCTCAAAAAGAGTCAAAATATTTTCAAAATTGTATGGTGTATAGAAAATGCTAATTTAAACATTCAGTGAAATTTTCATGTATCTACAGTTGTTCGTTTTTGAATTGCAACAAAATAAAGAAATCGCTACATGAGTAATCGAGTGAATATCCAATGTTGTAAAAATTTGAATTTCAAACACTCATAAAAATTTAACTTGACTGTCCGGTAGAAATTTTTTTATTGATAAAGGTAGATAATCTTATAAGAAATCTTGTGTTTCATTTTCAATTCTTAGATTTAAAAAGAAAAATTTTTACGGATTCTTAACTCAAAATAATTTTCTAATTTTCGTGATTTTTCCATATTTTGTCAATTTTTGAACTTTAAATGCTTTTAAAAAAAAATTGTGACTAAGGATTTTTAATATTTTTCATCTGCCTTTGAAACAACATATTAGGAGCCTTCTATTAAATTTTCAAGCTTTCGCAACCAACAAATAAAATTTTATTGATGTTTTTAGAAAAAAAACTAAAAAAAATGGAAAATGAAAATGTCTCTAAACAGTTCAAAATAAATCAAAATATTTTGAAAATGTTATCGTGTATAGAAAATGCAATTATAAACAACCAGTGAAAATTTCATGTATATACGTTCATTTGTTTTAGAGTTACACCAATAACCAAAATCGATTTTTTGGAAAACCAATTTTGAGTAAAAATTCCCGTTTTCCTTAATTTTTATGTTGTTTTTTCCCGGCGCTTGTGAAAACTACTGGGAAATTTATACTTTTGACCCCCCAAAGTACCAACTAGATTCACTTTCCTATCAGAAAAGCTACAGATGAAGAAAATCCAAGCACTTTTACTGTCCTAAAACGTGATGACAGACACAACAATATAAAAATATAAAAAAAAACATACATCATTGTAAAACCAATACATTCATCGCTCCGCTCAGAATCTAAAATGTGGCCTTCAATATGAACGCGGAAAAAAAAAACAATTTCATCATAAAATTCAGATATACAATGACATTTTCAAAAAATTGAGATTAATTTTAAGCCAACAATTCTAAAGTTATTAATAAAATAAATACCATATCGCTCCAAAAAAGTAGGTAGGTAATTTAAAAATTAACAAGACAATTAAGTATAGCTATAGCTTATTCAAATATATTATGCTATAATACACAAATAAAATAATATATAATATTATGGTTTGAATGACATAAGTAAATAGATATAATAATGTAAATAATACAATGCTTACAATATTTCGTGGCACAACGATAACCAGGCGTAGGCGACATAGGCCCACGCCTAGGGCGGCACATAAGCAGCACTTTAGTAAGAGGGCGGCATTTTCAAAATACTGATAATATTATATTATTAGGGGTGGCAAAATTTGATTTCGCCTAGTTCACTATTTTCGCTTGAGCCGGTCCTGACGATAACACAATTGCCTTACAATTTGACACTTGAACGAAAAAACACTTATACTTTAAATCAATCTCATGTATTAAATATAAATCACATAAATCATTAGTATTCACTATGTAAATTCCAACTATATAAGATGAAATTGGCTTATCACTAAATTCTGTAACATTCATATATTTTTTTACCATAAATTGAATTGGATTGTTCTTAGGCTTTATAATGTATTGTACAGTAACTAATGAATAATCTTGACATAGAAAATACTTATCTTTTTCTTTTGTCACATTTATAATAGTTTTTGAAAAATTTAAAACACATTTTGAATATAATTTATTTGAGATACTCATAAAAGGTAAAAGGCTTTGACAATCAATTTTATTGGAGAAGATAGGATAATTTGAAATTACATTTGATTGAGAGGTTAGTAATTGTTGTTTTTCTGTAATTCTATTATAGACTTCTTGCAGGGGATATTTTTCTGATTTCAGAGATTTTTTCATGTACTGTAAGTAGTTTTCATATCTAAATGAGCTAAAGTTGTCGAGTAGTCCATGCAATAATGTAAACATAGGTAAATGGATTAAGGTATGAACATTATAACTAATATAATGATGACCGTATAATGAACCATAGTCATGTACAAATTGTTTTAATAACTCAGATGCTTTTGAGTTATATTTATGGCAAGTCTCTGAGGATATTAAAAGTTATGTGGCAAACACTAGTAATAAAAAGTGTTTGTAAAATTCAGGCTTCAGTTTACCTTTTAGAACTATTACTCCTGAATACAAAAAAAAAACTCCGTAACTCCGTAGCTTTCCAAAAGTCTACATCATCTAAAGGTCTTGGCAAACGACAAAATTCTGATGGCACATAGTATCTTAATATTTTTAATTCGTTATTAATGCATTGTTTTTGATCATCAGTCAGCCTAATATTCTTTTTTCTTCGAACACAAAATTCAATCAAACGTTTTGGAACACTAAGACATCTACAATGTATGTAGTCTAAACTACGTCTGTTATATTAATAGGTAACCTTAGTAAGGGGGTATCACCTTTGTGATATTCTTCATTGGATTTATTGCGAAAACGTTCATCTGTTCTCAAGGAGGCATTTGCCCCAGTTAAAACAACCGTATTTTCTAAGTATTCTCCTTCTTCAGTGCATGATGAACATCCAAAATAAGCATTGAAATATTTGACATTAAGTAAGAAACTCTTAGCCGGGGCATCACATACTATATTAGAAATTTTTAAATTAATTTTAGTTCCATTTACATCTAAACCACTTCTCAATACTTCTAAAATATCATCAATAAATGGATTTAAATATTCTTCAATGGAATGTGGATTCTTGTACCCATGAAATATACCAATTGATATTACATTTTTAGATAATAAATTATTACAATTTAAAATAGAAATTAATATAGGCCAAAGTTGGCTCATGCTGCTTCTGGGAGACCGTCAATATTAATTCCTACTTTTAATTCCTTATCAGCAATATATATATTAGCATTATTTATTTTTAGAAGCGGTAATAACATATTTTGAAAACCCAAATGACTATATGACCCATTCGTTATATTAGTAATTTCCTTAGTCTTAGGAGTGTTCATGAAGGTTCGAACATCTTTTGGCACTCTGATTCCTCCAGATCTAAGAATACTTAATAGAGAATCAACACCATTGTGTGATACTTTATACTGAAGTATCCAGTGGCTTAAGTTATCACATATTATATTTGTACTACTATTATTTAAAGTTTCTTTCAAATTTGGGGTTAATAAAGTACCAGATATATTGCAATTTTGTATCTCAGAAAAATTATAATTATTTACTTGACTGGCAACTTGACTTAAATAAATATATGAAAAAAAATTATGAATAAATACGCAGTCACCCTGACCACAATAACTTGTTTTTTAGATTTTGATCCCACACTTCTTTTTTAACAATTTCACATCTTCTTTATGTAAAAACCTCAAGGCACTTTGCAGTTACTTTTTAATTAATTTTAGGTTTATGTATTTTTCCTATATTATTTCTATTTAATAATAATACACATAAAATAAATGCAATACTTTTATTTTTAAAACAATAAAACACTTGTTTTGTAAATTATATCAAATTCCTAGTAATGATATAGGTATGTTTAAATTTAAAAACTCTGTGGCTTACCAGCTTATACAATATGTAAATCAACTAATTTAATTGTATAGTAAATATATATTTAAGGTACTGTGGGATTATCTTTTTTCTTATAACATTTGAATCTTGTATTGGCTGTCCTGAGTCGTTCAGTTTGATGTTTAGTAACATTATGGCTACGTTAAAAGTCCATTTAAAATACTGAGTCATAACCAGTGATGGGCTGTGGGTAAATACCCAACGGGTAAGAAATAAATTTTGGGTAAATACCTGGGTATATACCCACGTCATATTTACCTTTGAAAAATTGGGTATTTTTTTTTTAAATATGGCTATACTGTTTTGTCTTAAATCATGGTTTATATATATCCTCCTTGGTTACAACATAAATATTAAAGAATATCTATGGTTATAACCGTCTTATGTCCGCGAAATGTAGAATATAGATATACCGTTACGCTTACGGCATTACCGCATTAGTCTTGCTCTTGTGCTTTTTTTCGTTTTTTCTTTGTTAATAAAATACAAATTATTTATTTTTATTGTTGCTTAAATTTGTGAACTATAAAATAAAATTATGGGAAGAAAAAAGGACATAGTGCGTAAATACTTTGAACAAGTCATATCTAACGATAAACGTCAGTCATGCAAGTTTTGTCATAAAGAGTATAATATGAATGTGAATAAAATGAAAGCACATTTACTTAAATGTTCAAATTGCCCACAACAAATAAAAAAAAAATTTTATTCAAATACAACTTCTAATGTAACTGAAGATCAAATACAAACAGTTGATGAATATGATGCTCATTTAGTTGTCAATTCGCACAAGTCTTTAACCATCAACAAATTTTTTGATCACATGAATAAATCAGAGAATGTAAGTAAAATAATTAATTTAAAAAAATTATATAAAATAGTAAGCTTATTTTGTTTATCATTTATTACCAATGTATTATTATTTTAAATGCAATATTTGCTTGTTTAACACTAAAAACTTGATACCTACGACCTACTTGAGTAGGTAAAATGTTTAATTATATAAATTGACAAAAACAATTTTTTTTTAATTTTACATTATTACATAGGTATTTAAAAGGTACAAAAAATCAAAATGTTAAGGATTACCTATAAGCTATATAACACTTACAAAATATAATAAATTAAGTACCTACATAAATAATATTATATTCATAGCTATTTTAATTTATATGAATATATACAAATTATAATTTATTATTTTAATACTGGTGTTGTATCTTTCATAATATTATATATATATAAATTTATGAACAATCTATGCTTATTAATTTATGTTTTTTGTTTTTTACTTCTACTTAGTTAGCTTAGTTTAAATCTATTTGAATTAAGTAACATAGTTCTCTAAGTTGTTATATAATAACATTTATTAAACTTAACTGTTTAAACAAAAATTATAAAACTATTGGTACCTAATTTAGGTACCTACTTTTTTTTTTTTATAATTTATTTTATGAGGTTATTATATTTCATAGGTACGTTTGAATGAAAAACTTGCTTTGGCCATCATCGTCAGTGGATCTCCATTATCAATGACTGAGCACCCACTTTGGATTGACTTTTTTAAGCAAATTCGACCAACCTTTAAACTACCTTGTCGAAAATCTATATCTACAGTTTATGTGGATAAAGTGTATGCTGAAATGCAGAGTAGTATTACTTATGATCTTCTTGAGGCAAATGATTTGCATATTCAACTGGATGGATGGACCAATATAAATAATGATGGCATAATAAACTTTGTTATTTGTAAACCAGAACCATTGTTTTTCAAATTTCTAAACACCAAAGATAACCGTCATACTGCTGAATATTTAAAAAACCAAATTGTTGAAATAATTGAAACATATGGTAAGGAAAAATTTTTTGTCATTATAGGGGATAATGCTGCTAATGTTAAGAAATCATTTGAACTGGTAAAAAATGTGTATAAAGGGATTCAAACTCTTGGATGTGCAGCCCATGGTTTACATCTCTTATGTTCTGATATTTTTAAAGTAGATTCAGTTAGTGAATTCTTGAAACAAAACTCTAGTATTGTTAGTTCTATAAAAAGATCACAATTATTATCTTCTGTCTTCAAAAAACACCAACAAATTAAAGGCATTAATGTTCAGTTGAAATTGCCTGTCAAAACCCGTTGGGGGAGCTTTCTATTTTGTTTGGAAAGTTTGATGAAAAATAAAAGTGTTTTACAGGCCATGGCAGTCGATGACACTATTCCAATTTCATTATTAAAACCTATCAAATTGACATTACTTGATGATTCTAAATTTTGGGAAAATGTTTTGAAAATGATAAATTTACTAACCCCAATAGTAAATGCAATTACAGTCTCAGTTTTAAATCATAATCTTATCCATAGAGTTAGAAGCCTGTTAAATGATGTGGAGAAAAAAGTTGAAGAATGCTTTTCGTCTTCAATCACAAATTCTCTTTTTTCTATTACCGAGGAACTGAAAATAATAAATAATGTTGCAAAAAGAAAAATCTTTATTCTTGGAAAAATTCATTTAGCTGCTGAATTGCTGGACCCTAAATCACAAGGACTAAAATTAAATGCAGATGAACGTGTTGATGCTTTAGAATTTATATATAATTTAGGAGTTGAAATGAAAATAGATATAATGAATGATCTCTCAGATCATCAATCAAAGCAAGGATATTTTGCTAAAAAATTTATTTGGGAAAATTCTTTGATTACTGATCCAGTAAAGTGGTGGAAATTCTTAGATAACATATCCCCATTATCTAAAGTTGCAGTAAGAATATTAACTGCTCCTTGTACTTCTGCTGCTACTGAACGAACATTCAGCACTTTTTCTTGGATACATAGCAAAAAAAGAAATAGATTAACTACAGAGAGAGCTGGGAAATTGACATACTTATCTTACAATTGGAAGCTAAAAAATAAAAAAAGTGAAATTTCCAAAAATACAGAAGCAAATAATTGTGAAGAATCTTCTGTAGATGTAGTTATACAAGAAATACAAAGTTCATCAAGTTCTTTTAACTCTGAAAAAAATGATGAAAATATGATTATCTCAAAAAGTGATTCAGACAGTGATTGTGATTCAGATTCAGAAACATCTATTTTATATAATGATACCAGTAGTGATGAAAACTCAGTTTCATGTTCAGAAAAGGAAGATGAGGATAATTATTAATTATTATTTTGTTATGCATTTTATATTTTGTTTATATTATATTATAACAGCAAGGAGCTAATGAAAATTTTATTTTGTTATGTTTAATTTGTATTCTGGTTATAGAAAATTGTATATCTTTATTATGCATTTTATATTTTGTTTGTATTATATTATAACAATTAACAGCAAAAAACCAATGAACAATTTATTTTGTTATGTTTAATTTTTATTCTGGTTATTGAAATTTTTATTTCTTTATTATGCGTTTTATATTTTGTTTATATTATATTATAACAGCAAGGAGCTAATGAACATTTTATTTTGTTATGTTTAATTTTCATTCTAGTTATAGAAATTTTTATTTCTTTATTATGCATTTTATATTTTGTTTATATTATATATTTATATTATAACAGCAAGGAGCTAATGAACAACTAATTTTGTTATGTTTTGTTTGTATTTTGGTTTAATAAATACATCTTTTTTATTATTCAATCAATATTTTTGTTTTTTTAATAAAATTTATTTTATATTTTCTTTTAGATAATATAACAACAGTAAGCTTATGAAAATTTTATTTTTTCTAGTTTTAAAAAAAATTTTTTTGTTTTTATTAATAATATGATATTTTGAAAATAATATGTAGCCAACTTTCCACTTAAAATATATTTAATTAAATATTGGTATTTTGGCTTAGATCCCCACACTTTTAACATTTGTTCGTTGATGAACAAAATTTTATTGAATATTTTGTATTTGAAGTAATTACCCAAATTACCGGGTATTTATTTTAAATACCGGGTAAATAACTAGGGAATTTACCAAAAATATATTTACCGGGTATTTACCCATCACTAGTCATAACTAACTGTAACCATAACTCGTATTCATAATTCACTTGAGATTCCCAAGAGAAAAGAGTCTACCTATATAACATCAGTACAATGCTATCCTATAGGTTAAGATAAGTGTTGTATAAAAAGTGATCAAGTACCTACCAATCTAAAAACAAAGAAATTCACAGAAGAATGTTTGGTTGAAGAATTGGTTGCGCATTCATACATATTTATAATATTTCTAACACAATAACTTTTAACCATTGTAAAAACGTATTGCACTGTATAACAGTAAGTGTTATAGTGAAATTATATGATAGTTTAAGGTTTATGTTACACTAATAAAATCATACATAGTGTTTCATTTCATTAGCTAACGTTTATTCCATAGAATATAATTATCAAAGTTAATCCAATGACAATAAGTAGTGTCTAACCTACGATTAAAATTTGTTACATGCTTAATTATTCCCTGTGCTCTTAGATACCTACATATTATATGGTACATTGTTTTTGTACATAACTTAGGTTCTTAATCTGTTACTACTATACCTACTTATACTTTACTTTACTAATTATACTTTACTGGCACAGTACAACATTCTTGAAAACTAAATGTCTATTTAAATCATAAAACTTTCATTCAACTTATTATATTATATTTATATAGAAAGTAAGCTGCAGAATAATTTGTACGACATAGAACCGTTCAGTATACTACAACATTGTCAAATCACGTATAACAGTGTTGAGGGAGTAAATAGCTGTGTTGTACATGTATATTTATTCAAGTAAAATGGTTTCTTAATAATGAGTATAATAGAGAATTTTGACATCGCGAAAGTGGCTACCACAAAATTAATCAGACACAGATTTGATAATTATAAGCGTGGCGGCTTACCAAGAAGTCAAATGTGAGCGTATATAGTATATACACTACCACCCATATATTTCGTTAAACATCACGTTTATCTCACCCACACTCGATCTTGTAGCGAATGTTGATGAGTCGACCCTCGACGGTGAGGTTTTGATATCAATGACGATTGATATTTAATACAACTATGGCACACACAGACTGATTTTCGGTGGTCGAATCATTGGTAAATACGTCGTCGCCATGCCTATAATGATATAGTCAGGTTGGTTCCGTCGGTACGATAGCAACAGCCTGGTCCGACACCATCCTTCCCAGACTTGAACAGCACGCCCAGTCTTTATTTTTTAAAGTTATTATTACATACGATAACTGTCGATGCGGTGTAATAATAACTGTAAAAGATGAAGACTAAACCACTTGCAGTTCAAGTCGAGGATGGATGGTTTCGTACCTGGCTGTTGCTAGCGCACCGACGGAACCAACTGATCTCCATGCGACCGGACTTGGACCGGAACATGGAGTACAAGGAGGGAAAGACCGCGGTCTGGCCGCCTTCCTTCAGGGCCTGCTTCGTCATGCTCTTGGTCCGGGTCAGGTCGTTGCCGTCGAACCAGGTGATTCGGTGTTCGTGGATCGGCTCGATATTGGTTGAGGTTCGATGTCGAGTGTTGGCCGTCCCGAGTGCTCTTCAACATGAACAGTCCCGTCCGATCCTGGATCCTCGACCGCGTTCCCCGCGATAAAGCACCCACATCATGCTGTACGTCGAACGGTCCAAGTACGTCCGGCGCTGGTTCCTTGTAATTGTATGGAGGTCTGTCACGTTCAGCAGGTTTGTCTGAAAAGACGGGGGAAAACGGTGGTTTTTTCAGTCAACATATTATTATTGTTTATAGTGTAAGAATTATAATAATAATTGGGAAAATATGTATTCTCAGACAGTCAAAAAATCAGAAAAACGATTTCTAGTAATACGACAGCAATTGAGCGTGTTGACTTGAGTTGTGTGCATAATAATTATAAAGTTGCAGCACAGCTGTACTATTTACAGTCGTGAACTACAGTCATACAGCGTATTCTGGTCTCGATTAATAATATTATCGTTACCGAAGACTCAACGGTGACACCGGGGTGCACGTTGAACACGTGTTCGTACATGCTGACCAACTGGCACACATGTACCAGACACGGCACATTCAACACGTACAGACACACGGACTCATGTTCGTTAACGTGTCGAACGGGAACCAGATCGGGGCACCCGAACGACCAGTTTGAGCACACCACCTTCACCAATGGAGTCGCCTCAACCAGTTTAATGGCCGTGGCTGACATGCTCGCGGACTGCACCATCGACGTCCGGCACAACGGGAACAGGGTGTTGGTAGTGCTGGTGTTCAACAGCGTCAGCATTCACGACTGGCACATGGCGTGCCCGAGGCAGAAAAACGACATGACAGACATCATAGTCAGACATATTGAGCACTCCATCTGCATGGAGATGGCCACGATCTCAGTGGTCTCAGGCACCAGTGACAAAATGGAAGCCACTGACACAAGTACACAACTGACGGCGGCACCGCGTTTACCTCTACTGTTGATGCCGCCGCGGCCCCCACCGCACCATCGTACAAGCAGTCGACGACTCTGCCGCTTCGACCTAAGTAGTCGTCATCACCACCGGGAGCGCTATATGTCCTATGGAGGCCGATAATTGAACACTATTGTACCTTAAATCTATATAAAAAAAATTAAAAATATATTATGATTTAAAGAATACAATTCATAATGTTATATTATGTTAGTGACATTTTTATTCTAAATTATTTGTATGCAGTTTTTAAATGTTTCCTTTTTTTAAAATATTTATAAATATTATTAAATACTGTCACGTTTAAATATCCTATTACAAAAAAAAAATATATGAAAAATGTAAGAGTTAATTCACTAAATTACCATACATAATGCTTACAAAATATTACAATTAACAAATAATATTTATTAATTAGTAATCAATATATTGATTTTAAATACAATTCATAATACCTATGTTGATATTGAGGTTAATACATAATATTACCTATGTGCTATCAAAATGCATATATTTTTAATAGGTATCTTCATATAAGCATTTATTACATGGTTGTACCTATCACCATTGATTTTATAACATATTCATAGTATTTATAGTATATTATAAAATCAAGGCTATTACCTATATATTATTATATATTAACCGAGATCCTGGGGATAGAAACATATCTATATGCTAAATGATTGATAGATTTATAAGGTCATCCTATAAAGTTCAGTGCTAATTTTCTTTAGACTTTAAGCATTTATGAAAAAAGTTTAAAGAGTTAAATTTCAAAAGTATATTAAAACATTACTTTACTAGGTATAAAAAAAACTGTGACTAAGGATATTTAATATTTTTCAAATGCCATTGTAACAAAATAGTAGGAGCCTTGTATTAAATTTTCAAGTTTTTTTAACCAACAAATTAAATTTTATTGATATTTTTAGAAACAAACTAAAAGAAAATGGAAAATTAAAATGTGCCTAAACAGTTCAAAATAAATCAAGATATTTTGAAAATGTTATTGTGTATAGAAAATGCAAATATAAACAACCAGTGAAAATTTCACATATTTACGGTCATTTGTTTTAAAGTTATACCAAAAACCAAAATCGATTTTCTCAAAAACAGATTTTGCGTAAAAATTCCCGTTTTTCCTTAATTTTTCTTTTTTTTTTCACTGCGCTTTAGAAAACTACTGGGAAATTTTTACTTTTCACCCCCCAAAGTACCAACTAAATTCACTTTCTATGATTAAAGATACTGTTGAAGAAAATCCAAGCACTTTTACTGTCCTATAAGGTGATGACAGACAAAAAAAAATTTTTAAAAAAAAACACTCTTTGTTGAAAAATCAATACATTCATTGTTCCACTCAGAAGATAAAGTACAAATAAATACAAAATCATAGAAGTACCAAAGTACCAACTAGATTCACTTTCCTATCAGAAAAGCTATTGTTGAAGAAAATCCAAGCACTTTTACTGTCATAAAACGTGATGACACATAAAAAAAAAAACACACATCATTGTAAAATCAATACATTCATCGTTCCACTAAAAATCTAAAAACAAATAAGAATATTGATTAAATTATTCATAAAATTAATACATATTATTCTTAAAACATTACTTTCCTTGATTTTTTGGAGCAAACTGATTAATAATATCATCATAATTTAAAGATTCAGAAATATCTTTTTCTATTGAAATTATTGAAAGACCATTAAGGCTTTCTTGGCTTAACTTGTTTCTCAAATATGTATTTATTAATTTCAATTTAGAAAAGCTTTTCTCGGCACATGCTGAAGATACTGGTATTGTCAGTAAAATTCTATGGGTTATACCAATATACGGAAACCATTCTGAAGAATATTTTGCCAGTGACAAAGCTTCAAGAGGAGTCGTTTCTTCATTTACTATCAATCTGAAATTTACCAATTCATTATACAACTCCATGAAATCAATATCTTTCGAATTCCCATTTTTAGATTAATTTCAAGGTCCTTACAATATTTCATTAAATTGTCATCATTCACAAATCGTAACTTTCCAATGCGAAATAAAAACCCAAAATAATCTTTGTATGATTCAATTTGTTTAAAACGTTTTTCAAATGAACTAGTTGCTTGATCTATAACTAATAAGAAATATTCTTGTCTAAAATTTTCTTCTTCGTCATTTATTCTTTCATCGTTTCCTTCATAATCAAAATTTTTCTTTTTCTTTCTTGGTCGGGTTTTCTTAAATACTGGTTCAATTTCAATTTCTTCCGCCAAATTATTAGCAATAATTTTAGCATTCGTAAATCCTGATTCTCTATAAGATTTCAAAAACGCTAATAAACTTTGTAAAATGTTATTTGAAATATTAATATCTGCACCTTTCCCTTGTAAACTCTTACTTACTACCTATGTTGACTTGAACTAATATGTCATACCAAATTATTAGACTTATTATAAATTCGTATGTACTTATTTCAGTAATTAAGGATCTAGCATCACTTTTGGAAATTGAGTCATTAGCTGTTTCTGATACTTCTTCTAGAGCTTCTATTATATTTGATAATTGAGCTTTAACACTATTCACTCGACTTTCCCAACGTTTTTCTGAACATTGTTTTACTGTAAAAATACTACAACATTTTTTGAAAATGTCCCAGTGAGTAGTTGATACAGAAAAAATAGTATATATTCGTTGTAATGTCCCAAAAATGTTGATACCCTAGATAAATTTTTAGCTGCTTCTGGAAGCACTGAATTGAAGTCATGAGAGGCATGTGGGTTAAAAAATGATCTTGGATTTTTATTGGTTACCCGTGTCTGTACCCTTTGATATTTACCAACCATGTTTGACCCATTATCGTGCATAACTTGCCGTCTATGGTTCATAATGTCAATACCATATTCATTTAATTTATCAATAAGCACATTTGATAAATTTAATCGAGTAGTAGATTGAACAGGGATTAAATCTAGAAAGTATTCTTGAATTTCTGGACAATGGGAGTTATCATCATTCATAGTCACTATTCTAAATAAAAGAGATAGCTGTTCATTGTGACTGATGTCAGGAATGCAATCCATTATGAAAGAAAAATATTTAGCCCTCTTAATACTATTAATAATTGTTTTTCGAATTTCTGTTGCCATTAATGAAATTAATTTTCTGAATGTCATGTCCTAAACGATGCACATGAGTTGTATGGTTTTTCTTCGTTCAAAATGCTCTATAATAACAGGATCAAAATTATTTAGCATTCCAATTGCTCCAAGAAAATTACCATTACTTATAGTAAATAAGACATCCGATGAGCCACTGAACGCATCATTGTTTTTGGATAAATAGTGAATAATAATAATCACACGATAGTAAGAACATTTCTCCGGTAATTTTTTTCCTTTTCAATAATGTCCAAATGTTCTTAATCAATTGTTAAGTTTTTAGATATTCTTATATGCTCACTCAAATGCTCGAAAGACAAAACACACACACTACTGTCATTAGTGGTCTACTTGTATCTACTCTGTATATAATATTGATTATCGGATAAAACCGAAATGCTTATAAAAGTATTAAAAGTAATACCTTCTAAATAATAATACAATGAAAAACGTTCCATCGGACATACTTCTTAGCCGCCGATAAGGCCTGACGTTGATCACCATTAACTAATGAGGCAGCAGCCTCTTTGGCCTGTTTTGGTGGCGTGATGTTGTTCTGGCCACCTGGACTTTGGAACGCCGTTTTCGTGCGAAAACGTCGATTTACTACACTGTTTACAGTAGGTACATTAATTAAACAACTTAGATAGTTAATTTCAACATAAATTTGGTCTTTTTCACGATGTATTAGAGTTACTCAAGCATAATGTTCAATCAATGGATAGTTATGACTGTTCCTGTGCCATGAGTGTCGACGAGATGAAGTATAATATACCTAAGCAACTTAGTTATGGCAAAAATAGTACAGAAACATTCAGATTTATTACCCTTGGTAATGAGAAGATGCTTCTACCAGTAATTATAAGAGGACTTAAAAACAAATGGAAGCAGGTTATTGGTTGCCATTTAACTGATAGCTCCTTTGATAATCAATCGTTTAAACAATTCTTTGAACGGCGTATTTAATCAGTTTAAAGCTGTAGAATACATGTTTTAGCTTTGTCATCTGGTATGGGAAACACCATTAGAGCATTGTGGGATTCTTTAGATGTTAAAGTGAAGGAAGATGGCATTCGTAAAAACTCATTTGAATTTAACAATCATAATATATTTATTAGGTATGCCTGACATCATCTGCCATCTTCTGAAGAATTTGAAAATTTTTTATTGAAAAAATAAATACTTAATTTCACCTAAATAATATCGTGAAAAAGATGGTCTGTCTTCTCAAATAGACAAAGAAAGTTATGTGGTTTCACTGTGGGAATATGAAATACATACAAACAAAGAACTAAGATCATTGCATCACCTAAAAAGAGAAGATAATATGTGGCCAAGTAATTTTCAGAAAAGGCAAGTTAAAGCTGCAATAAGATTTGTATGCTGTTAAATTTAATGTATTGCTATCAAGTGCAACCACCACGGCGCATTTTATTCGATTTTATAGGAGTGTTTCATTTATTTTATTCAGTTTAACACATTGGCTACCAGACCTATATTCAAAAAACTAATCGTGTGTACCATGAGAGTCACTGGTGTCTCTTACATGGACTTAGTTAGTGTACCAATAGAAATTTCAAATAACTTTCTCTGTGTACCGAGTCCATATCTTTGAAACTAAAAATCTTACAAAAAAATGTTCGATATAAATTATTTTCTAAAAAACAGTTAGATCACGATTATCCATTTTTTTTAATGAGAAGCACCGGTGATACTCATGGTACCTAGGTAATAAAATTAAGTGTATTATACGTTGAGTATCACTGGTGACTCTCGATTTCTTTTTTTAATTATTAGTGATAATATGCCAGTATCTAGTCAATAATAATTAAGTTTTGTAAGCAATTCATAAGTAATAAATATTACCTACATTACAACATATGTATCGTACTTTTAATGCTATGGTTAGGTACATGGTAATGATAAATTGATAATATAATATGTTATTTCCCGCCAATTCTTATCATTATATATTATGTTAATTATTGTTGCAAATCTTAAACGACTAAAATTTATTCATTTAATAAACATAATGGACTTTGATGGTATTCTTTTTGCTCTGGATGACACTGATTTTGAAGACTCAGGTAGTGAGTACAATCCGAGCGATGTTGTATACGAATCAGATTCTGATAACAGAATTGGTGTAGAACCAGATACTGAAAATACCCAAAATTTAGTTCAACAGGAAAATAATATCATATCTGATGAATGGCTTAATGTTACTGGTAAAGTAGTATTAAGTTAAGTAGTAAAGTAGTCAGTTTCTGAACAGCATATAACATGATAGTAAAAATAAAATTTGTTTTTAGGAGATTTTCGAAAATATATTATTTTTACTGGAGACAGTGGTATCAAATGCAACATTGACCAAGAATCTAAACCGATTGATATTTTCAATCTTTTTTTGAATGATGATGCATTGAACTAGATTGTAACTGAGACAAATAGGCAAGCTAAAAGGTACAAAAAACAATGGATAGACACAGATAGTTTAGAAATTAAAAAATTTTTAAGTATTGTAATGTACACAGGTATGGTTGGTTATCCTAAGATATCTGACTACTGGAGTCAACAAAATTTTTACATAAATAGTTATGTACCAAAAATTATGGCTCGTAATCGTTTTCAGACATTGCTTAGATTTTTTTCATATTTCTAATAATGATTATAATCCAGGAGATAGGTTAGGAAAAATTCAACCTTTAGTTGATTTATTAAATAATTCATTTAAACAATGCAAAGTCCCAGCAGAAAATGTAGTCATTGATGAAACATTAGTACCATTTAGAGGTCGCATTGTATTCAGGCAATATATTCCAAATAAAGCAGCAAGATATGGAATTAAATTATATAAATTATGTGATAATATAGGTTATACATATAACTTAAGTGTGTACAGTGGTAAAGATACTAACAGATCTAACAGTAACATTTCTTGTGCTGGTAAAGTTGTTCTGTCATTAATGGAAAATTATTTAAATGAAGGAAGAACTTTAATAGTAGATAACTTTTACACAGGTCTTCACATTGCTCACATTTTATTAGACAATAATACTCATATAGTAGGTATCCTTAGGAAAAATATTAAGCATTGTCCTAAGGATGGATCAAAAGATGGTGTCAATAAAAACATATATGGTTTTTTGGTGTATTTTTCTATTTTACCAACTGAAGGATGAATAGAAACAAATAAATAGATTTTTAAAAATAAAGAGAACAAAATTTTCAATTGAACTTTTTAATTGAAATTTATAACTTTTTTTTTACATATATAACATTGGTTTTAACAATTTATTTTTTTTTTTTTTTTAATAAATATTTTAACAAATTAGTAAACTTAAACACAATATAAAAAAAGTTATCTACCATTAAGAATAGGTACAGTCTTCAAAATATTTTCAATTCAGTCTTAAGGGCGTCTTTCCCGCATTCAGACTTAATTTATAACTTTTTTTTTAACAATATATTCTTTTTTTAATAAACATTTTAACAAATTATAAAACTAAAACACAATATAAAAATGTTATCTATTAATAAAAATAGGTAGTCTTTAAAATATTTTCAATTCAGTCTTAAGGGTGTCTTTCCAGCATTCAGATTTAATTTATACAGGTAATATTTTTGACTAGGAGTTCTATTTACAATCATAATTACATTTTAATAAACCTCTGCCATAAGGAATAGGTTATTCTAGTTTTCATACTACTTGAGAAGTGCTAAACTCACATACATCACGGACTACTGGAAAGCCATACACCATACCTTTGTACTCCCATGTTGTTTTGCTTCTTAAAAAAGTTCCAAGAAAAATTGTTTTATTTTTATTTTATATAATTTCGCCAATGTAATACATTTAATTTGAATTTTTGCTACAGGAATATTTATAATTATCTGGTTCAAAACTTATTAATACCCAATCATCAACATTAATTTCTTCACTTGTTTTGACAGGGATGATGTTTTTGAAAGATTTTCCATGTTTAAACACACTGATTATTTCTGATGAATCTACACGTGTTTCTTCTTCATCTGTGTCTGATGAACTTGAAGAAGAAAATATCTGATGTGATGTCAAAGGTTGTTCTAATTGTTCCACTTCACTTTCATCAGAAATTGTCTCAACACTTTTTCCAGGTCATCTGCCAATCTTTTCTTTTCCTAGGTTTAGTTTGGACAGACCTCATTTTCTGTAGAAATTCTTGGATTGATTCACTTAGGGCTTGAACTGGAGTATTTACACTGTCATCAACTGTCATATCCCTAGTATCAGATGGAAGCATACTCAGCACACGGTCTCTGTTGAACGGAATAATACCACATTTGTTGAACCCAGCTTTTATGTTTTCTGCTGCCTTATCTTCAAGTTTTGTGTAGAGTCGTTTCAGTAATTGTGGAAATCGGTTTTTTGGAATCGATACTTCATTTCGCCCATCACCTTTTTTCCATTGTTCAATTATGTTGCGCCAATAGATTTTAAGTGGCCTAATGAAGGCAACATCTAACGGCTGGGTGAGGTGAGTTTAATTAGTAGGCAGATATATAAACGTAATGTCATGCGTTTTACATAAACTTATTGAATCAGTAGACAAGTGACTAGAAAGATTATCGCCAATTAAACATTTTATTCCTGGTAACTTAGACAAATATGGTATGGCAATTGTTTTTATCCAGTCGTCGAAACAAAAACTATCAAACCAGCCGGATTTACTACGGTTAAAACGTACATGTTTTGGTCCTTCTACCCTCCATGAATCACTAATATGGGTTGACTTATAAGCCACATATGGAGGAAGCAGCGTCCCATCAGCAGCAGCAGCAAAATGACAGAAGTTGATGCCTTAGTGTGGTTCATCACACGCTCTGGGTACTTACAACCACGTTTCGTAATTACTTTTCGGCGACCAGGATCATCGGTCAGATTTGTCTCGTCGTAGTTAAGAATACTACTTGGAGGTACATCTGCTAAAGATATGGCCAGATTGTCAAAATAATTATTAAGGATTTCTTTTGATACTCCTGCTCTTGCACGTTTAATGTTTTGTCACAACCTAATGGACAATTTTTCTTTATGTCAGATCAAAAATCCGTCTGCCCAGTCTTTACCCGGCATATGATTTTTAAATCTTCTGACCTTCTTTCCACGGCGATCAAGGTAGCATTTTACTAAACTTCTTAAATCAAATCTATCGATTGGATAGCCCCATTTAGCACAATCCAATATAATATTAACTAATAACTACTCCTCATCAGTTGTTAAAGATGTTTGCCTTCCTTGAGATTTAATATTTTTATTATGAACATGACGATATATTACCGAATAGTTGATCCCATAAACTTCTTCAGCTTCTCAGTATGTAACTTGGCGGGCTTGAATGGCTCTTATTGCAGCTTGCAAGTCAGTTTTATTCGGTTTTTTGTATTTCTGCAATATATGTACGTGCCATCACAACTATGTTTCTATTCACCCCTAAAATGACAAAAGTCAGTAAAACCTATATATTGAAATGATTAATTAAATTTGTTAAATAATACTTACAATTTATAAAACCTAACAATATTTCAAATCGATCGTAACAAGAAAAATGAAAATGTTTACAATATTTACCTGATAACAAGAACCGTTGATTTTCGTAATAATTTATCAGGATTATTATCAGTTGTTGTTTATCAATTTTTACCTGCATGGTGGTAGAAATAAACGGAACGTTTATAGTCCATGGAATTTCGTACTAATGTGTATTCGATTTAGTGAAGATTTCATATTGATAACACAAATATTCAGATGGGGAGACGTCGAAGTAAAAACTTTCCTAATTTTGTTTCTATTCACCCCGTTATATTATAATTTATATTTCAAAACTAAAAAGTAAAGCAAGTAGTTTTTTTATTATTATTATTGTTATTATTATTATTATTATTATTATTAAATAGCTTAAAAACCGCTAATTGCTTATAGGCGCATAATAATAATACTGATTGAATATGTATATGTACGATAAGAAATAGTTGATGTATTATTTAATAAATGGTTTGTTTGTTCTCGTGGCAACTAATTAAAACAATTCACGACAATATTGGTTAAGATGCATCAACATTTTCAAAAAGGTCATCTGATTAAATGTAGAGAAAAAAATGAGTTAGTATCGCCACAGGACACTCAGGAAATGGTATAAAAAATATATGTATTCTTCCTAACAACAAAAACCAAACACGGAAAAATCTAAAAAACTAATCCGATAGTAAGCTGTCTCATATTACACTTGTATACCGAAACCGTTTACAGGTAATTTATCGAATGCTGGGCTATCGCTACTAATGACAACGACAACGACGACGTGGCCAAATACATATAATTTACAGCACGTGGACATAAATTTTATATCGTTAAGCAAACGTTTTCGTCACGCGCAGCTATAAATATAATATGTAGGGTAATCACTAAACTTTTATCGTGAAAACGACAACGGTGCTACCGAGGGTATATCCGCCGAGAATGCGTTTAAATATACAGATTATATTATATTTTGTACAGTACCTACAAATCAAAATCGTATAATATATAATATTGGTACAATAAACCAATTACCAATCGATATGGTTAATTAACGATGTATTAAATATACTACGCACTACGATGTCAGATTAGAATTGTAGTAGACCACAGACGTACAGCATTTACACAACAGGCGAGCACGACGCGCGACGTGTGAAAAATAAGTGAAACTTCGGTTCACGTCTTCACCAGTCACGACTGTACGCCGAGCACAGCTACTTTGCACCATGATTAAATGATATACTGATATACTGGTTGCCGAACGAGTAATAATAATTCAATATTTATTGACATTCATAAGTTCTTATCAAAGTACTCTGACTACTAGCGCGTCCGGTGTTGAACATTTCAACTATACTCTATAGCAGGCTTCTCCAAACTACGGCCAACGGCCGCGAACAATTTTTAACCGGCCGGTGGCCAGCATAAGACGACTACTAAAATATAATTATAAGTAGATATATATATTTCATTTTCAAAAATTTTAATTATATTTTAACAAAAAAATGTTAATATTTAATAATGCAATTTATGTAATTCAAATATTTTGGTACAAAACTAAATATTTAGCTTAACTTTTGTACAATTATTATATACAGATTAATATATTAAAAATAAAACCAAATGTAGTAAAGTATTATGTATAATGGATAATGAAATTCACTATGATTGATTTGAATGAAAATTATAAAAAAATTATATAATATACACATATTATATTATTATATTATATAACTATACTTGGGAGTATTTAAAAAATCTACTTCTGTAAAATTGATTAGTTAAAAAATAGTCGTACTTATATTGTTATATGCATGCAGTTGAGTACTTGGAACATTATTGTTATCTTTATCATAATTATCATCTTCAATGATTTCTTCATGATGACTAATGTCCACTAAAAATAATATACAATATAGAACAAATAATTATCTACAATATCATTTACTATTAATTATAGTAGTGGGTGCTGTGTGTCATTATGTCTTATGAAGGTGTCAGCATAAGGAAGATATATTTTATTATAATGGGCCCATTAGAATAAACCTAATAGACTAAACACTTGCTCAGAAATCCACATAACATGTTTAAAATAATATTGAAAATTATAGACTTATTGCTTATCCAACATAGAATATATACTATAGTATATTAGTATCAACATATAATATATTGAAACTAAAATACTAGCTGCACAAATCTTATAAAGTACAGTTTCTATTATTTATCTAACCTAACCTAATATAAATATTTACCATCATTATTCTGAAACACGGGAGGGTCTTTAAGAACAAACTGTGAAGAATTTCCATATTTTGAATCATTCTTTTTTTTAGTTTTACTGTTAAAGTTTTTTATCTGATAATCATACTCTGATTCATCATCTGATACATGTAATTGATGACGTTTACGTCTAGTTGATTTGTCAAAATTATCGCAAGATGAAAGCTCTGAAGTTTCTTCAGCGCGAACTAGTCTAGACCGTGCCACTTGAAAACTTTCTAAAAATGTATTTATGTAATGAATTAAATATTATATAATATTATACATAAAATATAAACACATTTACCAATATCTTTAGACAGAGCTCTAGCTTTATGATAATTAAATTCAATATCATTTGGA